TCAAGGTGGCTCAAGGTGTCCGCAAAGTGTGCCGACCGAAGCACCGCAACGCGGATGGCTTACTTCCACGGCTTCAGCAGAGGCCGACCTCTAAGGCACTGTTTTGCTGACTCAACCTGGCATCAAGTTTGGCGCTCCGCTTTGCTGCAATTCATTTGTGCATGTGTACATGCACGAATGCATATGTACATATATATATATATGTATATAGATAGACATATTGCCCCCCAAAGGAAAACAAACAGTTCGAACTGAATCCACTGGTACTTGCAGCATGTTTAGTTCATTGGCGTATCAAGGACAATGCCATGGGACAGTCTTTGCAAGGCTTTCCTTCGGTGTTTTGGCAGCTTGGGTGCAACCTAAGACTTGAGTGGGTTGGAACCTGATTTTGGACGTGGGGTAACATGCATGCTGTATACCCAAGTATATATTTACATATATGGTACTCTGCGTGGCTGTTGGTTTGGTGGGTCAGTAACTGGTTTCGTTCTGAGGTGGCAGATCGTGCCAAGACAGCTCAACTTCTGCCGTGTCAACTACAGCAGCTGCTTCACAGGCACGTACTGTTGTTGCGCCCGTGAACTAGAGTGCTTTTCCTGCAAGAGTCATCGCTCCTGCGGCCAAGAAGAAAGAGAGGGAGTGGCGCAGTTTCTTATCATTGGCATAGACAATTGCCCCAGGTCGGACTGTGTGTGTTTTGTCAAGCTGTAGCAAGTTTGCCAGCTGGTGCTTGTTTTGCGTGGCGAAGACTGGAGTCTGTGAGTATTGTGCCTGGCTGGCAGCTAAGGCTGCAGGTGTGACTTGCGCCCGCCCAATGTGCTCAAAGCCGCCCTGGAACGGCGCACAGGGCCAGTGCCGTGGCCCGGCCAGCATTCCGCAAAGTATTTTCAGGTGAACTGGCAACACCTTGCTTCCGCTGTTTCCATTTGCATCCCTGTGATGCTGAAGGAGCGTACTCTGCGTGGCTGTTGGTTTGGTGGGTCAGTAACTGGTTTCGTTCTGAGGCTGCGGACGGTGCCAACTACTGCAGATGGTTGCCACTGCTCGTGCCACAAGGCTTGAAGGATTTGTCAAGATACTTGTGCTACAGTTTGCATTGCATTGACTGCACTACATGTCAGTCTTGTATGCACGACTACAGGCCTTGAGCTCTCGAGTTATTTGCATAAAACAGGAGCGGCAGATACTACAGGTTTGTGTTATTGAAACAGCACTACAAAAGCACTTCCACTTTAACGTGGTAGCGGAGCTGAGATCCTACCCAGAGGGGAGCTCCAAGTAGTAACGGCTACAGTAGCACCACAGTATGCCCAACTACTACGACATGCCAACAGGAGACCAAGCAGTGGCAGCAGCAAGCTCATCAGAAACTACAACAGCAACAAGACAGCCTCAGAGAGCAGCAGGAACACCAGCAGTACCACCATCACCAGCTACAGGAGCAATCGGAGCAACAACAACAGGAACAACAGAAGGTGATGTACAACGGCTGCGCAAGTACAAACTACCACCGCCTTACTTCAATGGCGATTACTCCAACTACGATGAATGGAGATTCAAGCTACAAGCCTACCTGGGACTCATCGACAACGAGTTCGACACAGTACTACAATTAGCTGACAGAGCCACAACCGCAGTAGAAGATCAACACCTCATCAACGAGGTACTACCAGATATGACAAGAGGCACTAAACTCGTCAACCTTGCCCGCGACCTGCACGACATACTAATCAGCATATGCCACGGCCCAGCAGCTTGAACACAGGTTCAGCCTACCCATTGGAACACGAAGCGTTTGCTACTTGACAAAACTACTGAAGCCCTCGTTTCCAGAACAACAATTCGAAGAACAGTTCCTACAATGGGAGTACGGCATCAACCGCTACGAGAAAGACAACGGAGCACCACTACCAGATGGAGTGAAGATAGCAGTCCTGATGAATGAGACTAAAGGAGCACTACAACAGCATCTACAACCACGAGCTGGAACAATGCGCACCTACGCAGCTGTACGTGAAGTAGTAATCGAATACTACAGAACGATTTCGGCATTTCCCAAGATGAACGCCACTACATCGTCATCAATCGGCAGCAACTACGGAGGTGGACCAGCACCAATGGATGTGGGCAACTTGTGGAGAAAAGGACACTACAGAAGACCCAAAGGCAACTACGAAGGAAATCACAAAGGCCACTACAGAAGTCATAAAGGAAAAGGAAAAGGCCACTACAAAGGCAAAGGAGCACCGAAAGGAAACTGGAACAAAGGAGGAAAGGGAAACTACAGCAACTACGGCTATGGCAAAAGCAACACAGGTAAAGGGAACAAAGGAGCCCCTACAACAAAGGAAGCAAAGGAGACAAAGGCAAAGGCTACAACAACAGCAATCAAGGAAAAGGAACATGCTACAAATGTGGAAGATACGGACACTACGCTTCAGACTGCAGAATGGCAATTTGGCAACTACATTCGGGAGAGCCACAAGAAGACTACGATCACGAATCGGAAGACAACTACGAGCAAGACTGGGAAAAATACGCACCTGCAGACTATGCAGACGACACAGGTGACAACTGGCAAGTGATAGACTACGACTACGAACAACCAGACAAGACTGGTGGAACTACGAAGAGCCATACGACGGAACAGGTGACTACGATGGCACACACGACATCAGCGGAATCAGTGACAGGCATATATTTTAGGCCACTACAGCCTGAATCGAAACGGCTTCTACAAGAAAGTCCTGCGCACGACGAGCTGGGATGACCGCTGCAAGAAATATGACAACTACCTTCGGCCAGACAAGCATGCAGAACAACAAAGCAACAGTTCAGAACTAGCGCATCTCTACAGGAGAGCAACATCATATGCACAACGACCACAAGACCAAATACACTACCTACTACTAGACTCCAGAGCATCCACGCATGTTTGCCCCAGAGACTAGACCACGCACCACTACCCCACAACTCTACACAGTCACGAACATACAGATACCTGTCTACGGAATCAAGTACGTGCCCTACCACAAGGACAACAAGATTATGATTCCCTACTACGTTTGTGAAGTGAAGTACCCGATCCTGAGCGCATCAAGGCTACTGGATCGGGGCTACAACCTCAAACTGGATACACAACATTGCTCACTGTCACATGGCGACAACACAGCACCACTACTTCGACAAAGAGGACTCTTCTACTTGGCCATCAGCAGGACCTACATTCCCACCTACATTCCCAAGGGTCACGAACTACAACCTTTCATGGAACATGATGGAGTCATGAAAGCTGTGATGCAGCCAATCACTACGAACAACAACTGGCCACAACACCACACCATAGCACCACTGACGCACACAGACCAAGGACTACGAAGAATCCTTGGAGGAAACACTGACTACTGGCAACTCGATGGCGACTACGCTGTCAGAGTACACAAGCGCCCTCGGAAGGCGCTCTACACGCCAGAGAACTCTGGATGCCCAATACCTACAGAACAACTCGACGACTGGAGACAAACTACAGTTGTCAGAAATGGTATAGAGCCAGAGATACTACAGGACAACATGAAGCTACTCTCCAAAACCGAACTTCACAAGCGACTACCCGGTGACGACTGGGTTGGCGAAACTAGGTTTAGGAGAAAGATGAATCCTACACAAAGGATCACAGGCAAGACTACAATTCCAAGACAAAGCTCACAAGCACAACCAGAACAACAGCCCACTACTGCAAAACGAACATCACTCACACTGCGCACTCAACAAAAGGTTTGGAGACCTAAAGCACAACCATCACAACCAGCCAACATAGATCCTACAGTACCTACAGCCAAAATGACCAGACCACCAACACAACGGGAGGACAAGCAAGACTACTGGGAACGACAAGGCGAACATTGGATCAGACATCACTTGGTACCACGCGCTACAATGTTCACTCCAGCCGATGGCCCAGGACAACCACCAACAGATTCACTCGAACCCTACAGAACTACCATCACTACAAACAACTTCAACGAAGTCAAACAACACAAGGATGAATGGACAACAGCTGGCAATGTAAACCTACCTTACACTTGGACCGGCGCTACACGGTTCACAGTGAAGGAAGGATACCACTACACGGATGACAGCATCCTTGTAGATGATGAACAACACGTGGAAGCACAACGAGCAAAAGGACTACGGCAACCACGCAAACCTACACCACAAGAAGTTCATGAACATGAACTCACACACCTTCCCTACAGAGACTGGTGTCCAGTCTGTGTACAAGGTCGAGGAAGACAAGACAATTACAAGACACAACTCGCACGACTACCAGTCATACAGGTCGACTTCGCCTACATCAAGACTAACCAAGAGAAACGACCAACACCTGTACTGACAGCAGTTGATGTGACTACACAACTGTGCATGGCTTGCCTCATACCTGACAAGTCATCCATGATGGACTACATGGTCAATAACCTACAAGCATTCATTCCGGAATGCGGTCACACAAATGGAATACTACAAATCGACAACGAGGATACACTCAACGTACTACTCAAAACCACTGCAGCAAAGGTCGGATCCATGACGGTAAGAAACTCACCAGCCTACAGCAGCAACAGCCAAGGAAGTGTCGAGCGACTACATCGAACACTACTTGGACAGATACGCGCTGTCAAGGCACAAGTTGAGTACAACTACCCGACAACGACCATCAACGTGCAGCACCCACTACTACCGTGGATTGTACGCCGCGCTGCATGGACTATCAATCGCTACGTTGTTCACTCCGACGGCTACGCCAGCTTCGAACGACGCTGGGGACGAAACTACGAACGTGCAATCGTAGAGTTCGGAGAAACACTACTCTACATGCCACCGCAGCATAAGAACCTACCAAAAGCCGAACTACGAATGCAGAAATGCATCTGGCTAGGTAAGGTTTCGGAAACAGGCGAAAACTACGTGGCAACCAAACAAGGAGTGCCACGTAGTTTGAAAGCGCGCACAGTGAGGAGACTACAGCCGGACTTCAAGTACGACCTCGCACTACTGAACAAGATAACCGGAACTCCATGGGCACCAAGACGCAACACCTACAACCCGAAGTTCACTACACTCCCGAAGTTCACTACACTCCTCGAAACGATGTCACCACTACCACCGTCGCAGCCTTCACGACCTTCACGACCACCACAACGTGACGCAGGACAACAGACGAACGCTGAAGACGACGTAACACAACAACCGCCGAGCAAGCAAGCGCGAACTACAGAACGCACAACACTCCCTTCGACGAAACCTGCAACAGGCTCGTCAAGCACACAACTACCGGACTCACCAATGGCAACATCACCGACAACACGTAGACATCCACCACTACCAGCGCCACCAGCAACAGCAAGACCACTACGAAGACTAAGCCAAGACGAAGTCATGCAGCCCAGCAAAGCACCAAAGACTGCAGAAGGAACTACTGTCAGAACAGCAGAACAAGACACTACCGAACCACCGGCGCAACGACAACGAATCAACATTGTAGCAGCAGTCGAACTACGCGATGGATCTACAGTTCAGTCGCATACAAACGACGACCCTACCGAACAACAACCGATCATCTTCGACAAAGAAGGGTTCGACAAATCCAAACTACTGGCAGGAATGAAGACGGAGGCCAACCAAATGAAACTACACGAAGTCTACGACGAAGTAGACATCTCTACACTCGACCCTGCAACCATACATGAGGCGATACCCACAAGATGGGTACATCGCGAGAAAGGTACTACGGTACGCTCACGCATCGTCGCAAAAGGCTACAACGAGAAGGTGGAAGACGAATACTCAGTCTACTCGTCTACACCAATGTTCACGATGCTACGAGTACTACTACTCATGCAACTTGCACTACCACATTGGGTTGCACGTCTAGGTGACGTATCTACAGCCTTTCTACACGCACCACTTTCACAGCACAACGAAAAGCCAACCTACATTTGGCCACCGAAAGAATTGTGTCCACAACAGGACAAACTGTGGCGACTACGAAAAGCAATGACGGACTACGCAGTTCACCGAAAGCACGGCAGGACTACCTGGCACAAGTCCTACATGAACTTGGCTTCAAGCGACTAAAGTCGGAACGCAACGTCTACGTCTCTCCAGACAGAGACCGCTACATGATGGTGTACGTCGATGACCTGCTGGTTCTCGGACACAAGGCTACAACGGATAAGACCTTCGAAGCCGTACAGAAACGAGTGCTACTTAAGCACATCGGCTACATCGAACCACAACATCCACAACAATTCCTTGGAAGGATCATCGAACACCACGGTGACTACATCACACTGGGTTTGGCTAACTCCTACATCAACGACATCATCGAAGAAGCCAGCCTTAAGAACTGCAATCCAGTGGCTACACCTGGAATAGCACACTACAAGCCCACTGTGGAAGATGAAGCACTACTGGATCAAGAACAACACCGCAGATACAGACGTGTAGTAGGACAACTACAATGGCTTGCCTACACACGACCGGACATTGCCTACGCCACCAAAGAACTAGCAAGAGACCTCACAGCACCTACAGAACTCTCCAACAAAAGAGCAAAACATCTACTACGGTACCTTCAAGGAACCAAACACTACAAGTTCATAATACAACCAACCACTACACAGCTGCCTCGACCTTGAAACACATGTCGATGCTGATTGGGCAGGATGTCCAACTACACGCAAATCAACTTCAGGCTTCAACATCGAACTACTTGGCGCAACAATCGCAGTTGGAAGCAGAACACAAGCTACAATTGCACTAAGCTCAGCTGAATCCGAGCTTTATGCAATCTGCACAGGAGTGAATGAAGGACTACACCTTCGATCATTCCTACTTGAAACCAACATATGCACTACTGTCAACATGCACATACACACCGACTCCACAGCAGGCAAAAGCATTGCTACAAGACAAGGATCAAGCAAACGAGCAAAGCACATCGACCTCAAGTTTCTCTACACCCAAGACCTCATCAAGTACAACATCATCAAAATCATCAAGATCAACACACTACACAACAGTGCAGACATCTTAGCCAAACACACATCCAAGGAGACGCTCACACGACTGATGCAGTCATTGAGCATCAGGCTGGAACTGCAAGCATGCAGGACAACAGCAGTTTCACAGCAGTTTCACTACACGCCAATTTTCTCACAACGGCAAATTTTCAGTGACGTCACATCTACACACATTTGCGCACATTTTCACTTTTGCAACTACATTACAGTTTGCATGTAGCCCCAAAGTAAGTTTTTGCAACAGTAACTACATGTGTATGACTTTTGCACCATGGCGGCTTTTGGCGGCAAAGTCAACACTACATTTGTTGCTTGACTAAGGTCTGCCCGCATCCTGGAGCCCACTACAGGCTCAATTTTGCCCGTTTCGCACTCGCCCGCGCTGACTGCAATGGCGTCGCGCCAGGATACTACAGACCTGGAAATGCCGGTCGCAACCACACCAAGGGAGACTACCGACAGCAGCGACCGCAGCACTCTACCGGAGCCTGACTACGATGAGACAACCTACAAATTCAACCATACACCTGGCTACATCACACCTTTCTACAAGCCAACTAGCATCAAGGACCACTACAACTTCACAGAGTTTCCAACTGCATCACCAATTACAACTGCCGACCACATCAACTACTTTGAGCTCTACACTGCGCTGACTCTTGAAGAGTATCAACTACTGAGCTTACAACAAGAGAAGCTCTTAACTGGCTGAGACTACACTCTACCCATTCGATGCATTCCTGGAGACCTACGAATGCCTCACTACGACTCCATATTTTTCAGCACTACAATCGACGAGGCATGCAATTTGTACTACTACCACACCACCTCACTACACACTACAACTGGTTACCCAAACGACTTCATCATCGTCAAGTTCCTCATGGACCAAGAACTACTGTTGAGGTACGTTAGCTCAGGGCAACTACTTCATTTTGCGAGGGACTACATCTCCTACTTGTACTCCACCAAATCACCCTACTACATACCCATGTCACAACAGGCGCAACAGATCTACAAGGTGGACTTTGACATGAGCGAGTTCACCAAGACCTACAGTTTGAAGAACAACTACCACATGCTGATGCAACTACCTGAGTTGCTACACTACATCAACCACACCGACCAACTACTCGACGAACAACAGAAAGCACTCTACACCATCCTCTTCAAGACCACGCAATACTACGGATTCACACTACTCACAATGACAGAACTCAGCACAGCGCAACGACAGCAACTGAACCACTACCTGCGAGCCAACAAGATCACACTACAGCCTCCAGAAATCGACGATGATAGACCACGTGGAGCGCCAGACTTCAACAACTACTTCACAACCAACTACTTCGGCACACTGGACAGCCGACTACAGGCAGTCCGCAACCACAGAGCTCAAAACTGGCAACACCACATTGGATGATCACTACATTCTGAACTGGAACTACATCCAACTTCAAGTGCTACAGCGAGCACTACTGAGAGTTCCTTCTCACCCGGACTGCGGTCCTTTAGTCATGTGGGACAGTTGAGCCCTACTACATAGCATGGATTGAACTAGGAACCCATGTTGCCACTACAAGAGGCAAAACATTTTGCGGCTTCTTGTAAACTACATTTGCAAGTTGACACTACTTTGGGCCCCTGACACAGTTTGCCAGTTTGAGGCAACTACAAGTCCCTCAAACTGAGTGAGGGGGCGTGTCAAGATACATGTACTACAGTTTGCATAGCATTGACTGCACGACATGTCAGTCTTGTATGCACGACTACAGGCCTTGAGCTCTCGAGTTATTTGCATAAAACAGGAGCGGCAGATACTACAGGTTTGTGTTATTGAAACAGCACTACAAAAGCACTTCCACTTTAACGAGATTGAGAGAGAGAGAGAGAGAGAGACAGAGAGAGAGAGAGAGAGAGAGAGAGAGAGACTGGCGCAGGTTCGTTTCATTGGCATAGAGAATTGCTCCAGACCCGACTGTTGTTCAGTCAAGCTATATCAAGCTTGCCAGCAGGTGCTTATTTTGCTTGACCAAGACTGGAGTCTTGGAACTTTGACGCCTCCGGCTCACGATTCCAGCGATGCTGCAGAGCCGTTCAGTTTGGGGCATTTGCTGATGATCCTGTTACCAGGTTTGAAAGGTCCCCCAAAGCATCAAAAGTGACCCTGTGTTTTTGACGCATGATGCTAACAATGCTGGAGAGACTTTCGGTTTTGGGCATTCGTGGGTGGTGTTCATGCATGATGCTGGAGAGCTGCAAGGTTTGGGCACTAGCTCATGCAATAGGGACTTGTTTTTTGGGGCATTTGCCGAGGATGCTGTCATCAAACTTGAAAGATCCCCACAGGCTATTAGCAGGGCTTGTATTTATTTTATAGTTGCGGATGATGCTGTCATCAAACTCAAAAGGCCCGCGCAGGGCAGCAGTACAAACCTTTGGCGCGCCAAACCCTGAATAAGTGCTGTCAACGCCACAGAAAGGTCCGACAAATCGGACCAACTAGGGGATGCTTTTGGTGCGCGAGGTGGTTGGTGCATGTGGGGAGGCAGCCTATGGAGAAATCAGCTTCGTTCAATGCTGGTCATGCTGGCGATGCTGGACAGGCGCGTGATGCTGGGGCCGGGTATGCTGTTGATGCTGATGAAGCCGGTGAGGAGGGAAAGGCCAGGGAACCGGGGGAGTCGAACCCCACACGTCGCAATATCCTAGATGGGTGAATCGGGCCAACTCGGTGCTGTCGGACAAACCCACCCGAAAACCACTGGGGTTGTCAAAGCAAATGTCCGAAAAACGGGCCGCGTTCTTGAAAATCCAAAGCCACCTGAAAAGACAGAGGTGTCAGCCATTTGTCTCGCTGAGGGAACCATTTGGACGGGCTGAGGCCGAGAAGCGCACGGCGCCCGACGGCAGCATGTACAGTAGAGTTGAGTTCATGGAGTGCGCTGTGGGTTTGACACTTTTGGGCCTTAAGAAAAAACATGCGGACCAAATGATTCATGGATGTGCTGATCCACCCTCCCCTTCCAATCTCAGAGTCTGTGCACAGTGCTTTTTGATTGTACCGGCCGGGCAGCGGGGTTTCTTCTCGCCGGTAGGTACTACGGCAGAGACGGCGCCTGGCGGTGGTGCGAGGCGGCTCTCCGAGACTGGACCTTGTCACTAAACGAAGTGGCAGAGGCTTGGCTTCCTTGGGGATTGGGGTGTTTTGTGAGGTCTCCTACCCGAAATGAACATGGCAGTGTAGGGATTCATGCCCACCTTGCACTGAGTTGAGGCTTTTTTGAGCTGGCATTGCATTCGCATGCGCAGTAGGAACGTCTGAGGGGCAACTTGAGTCAAGGGCATTTGACCAACCGATAGCTGGCAAGTTCCCGCAAACAACAATCACACCAACAAAAAGAGTCCAAGGCAAGATCCCGCTTTCACTTGGAGGGCCGGGTTTCAGCCGCGAAATCAACACCTGCCAGATGAGTTTTCGTATGGATTGTGGGATTCGCAAGGGCCCAGTGATGGTAGAAGCAAAAAACCATTCTTTGGGGTTGATCATTTTCGTGAGGAACCTGAGTCCAAAGGGACAAGGGAACCACTAAACACCTCAACCTCAAACCTTAGACAACTGTTTGCTAAATAAGTAATTTCTAGCTGACTGCTGAACTAGCACGTCATCCATCCATGCAGTTTGACTGCTGGCAACGTTGCAGTATTTTCTGCTGCTCCAGTGCAGCTTTGTGTTTCCAGCTCTTGCTGTGCCTTTGTGTGCGCACAGATACCGCCAGAAATCACCCCCCCCCAAAAGTCAAGAAACGGACCCGCCCGTGGGAGGGGAAGGGGAAAAATACATAAAACTGCATTTCTGGCCTGAAAATTATTTTGAACAAGTATAGACACATTATAATAAACTACCTTATTCATTTACAATAAAACCCCTCAATATTACATCATGTTAATACATCATTATCATCTATTAACCTTATCTAATTTACAAATCATTGTTCCTCAGCTTGTATCTTTCCTAGATTATGTTGATGCTTTGTTGTTTTAAGATGTCTTCCAAAATGCCCTTGACCTATTGAACAATTGCAAACATCACAACTAACAATATATTTATTTCTCCTATAAGTCCTTTCCAGTTTCTTTTTTCTTTACTCCTCATCGTTTTCATATCTAATTCTTTGTTCCTCGTTCATTCTCTCCCTATGTCTATTTTGATAGTCTCTTTGAGCTTTTAAACACTTATCACATCGCATATTATCACCACTGAAACTTTCCTTAGACTTATCATTTTTACACTTTGAACGCTTTTTCACTGCTTCCATCCTTATCATAGAACTACCGTATTTCTTTAAAGGCGTTTCCATGACTAAGAAAGAGACAAGCAAATTAAGAACAATTAAAATTATTCAGTCTTTACAAACCATAAGTATAGTATAGTTATAACATATAAGATTTTACATGTTATTATAATAGTACGATTATAATTTCAGTTCAGGATAATAATTTAATTTATTCATCTTACTTCTTTCATACATCATTTTAAAAATAGTGTTAATATCTCTCACTGTATTTTGAACATTAAGCTTGTTACTTTCAATAAATAATTTGATATGTTCTTTAACATCTTCTCCTTCCTTTTGACGATAACCCAACATCCATAATATATCATTAACCATTTCATATTTTTCTTACTGATTTTAAGAAACTGTTTAACATAATCGTAACGTGGGATTTTATATACAGTTAGAAATATTAAAGTCTCATCTTCTACATTTCTATTATGTCTTCTTTTTATTCTCAACACACAATTGATTAAAGATTGATTATCTCTCCAATTTATACAATTTTTACATTCGTCTTCTTCATCCATTGAATAGTTAATAATATTATTCACTATTCCATTAGGTAAATTCAGTTTATACAATTCCGTATTTTCCTTTTTGAAGTGACAACAAACATAGCATTTCTTATTGATATAATTATTGATTTCATCACCGTTCATTTTCCTCTTATTATATTAAGGCACTATGTCTTTAAGTCATTTTTAAGGCATTAAGACAATTAAGAAACAAACCATACGTATAGTATAATTATAACATATACGATTTTACATGTTATTATTATAGTATGATTATAATTTCAGTTCAGGATAACAATTTATTTGATACATCTTACTTCTTTCATACATCATTGCAAAAATAATATTAATATCTCTAACTGAGCTTTCAACATTAAACTTTTTACTTCCAATAAATAATTTGATATTTTCTTCAACATGTCATAAAGAATTTCAATTGCAACTGGAATTGTGTATATCCCTTATCCTTATGTTCTTTAACAAAAAAGTGTTCAAGGTCTCTAGTTATACAACAATGGTTACAATACACATTATACTCACTTATTTTATTACATAGATTAGCAGGTCATAAGTTATACAATGTTAGATTAATATCATTCTTTTTATTATTGCAACATTTACACTTACTATAATTACACAGAGTCATTTTCCTCTTAATATATTAAGGCATTATTTCTTTAAGTATATTTTCTATAAAGTCACTTAAAGAAATAAACACATTAAATTTATATAGTATAGTATTATGAACCATGTTATAGATTATCTGTTGAATAAGGATAAAGCGGAAATTCCAAAAAGAGGAAACAAGGAACTAAAACCAATAATTATAGATGGTAGAAAGTTTAGATACAACAAAGAAAAATCTATCTCGAATGTTTTGAACCTGAAATTGAATCAGTAGCAAACACCAATGAATATAATAGTCCTGCTACAAGAACAATTCGCTCAACATACCTTAAACAAAGAATGAAAAATGCCATGACAAAAGACGCTATAAAAAACAAATTCAGAATAACAGACCAACAATCAGCATTCAACAGTTATGCTAATTCTATAGAACTAGTAAATTTTTTCAAGGTGAAAAGGCGTTATCAATGATACACTACCAAAAAGATAGACTTTTGAACTTCTTGAAATCTAATAGAGCAATGAAATTGAATATAAGGGCAGAAGGTGTATTTTATCATTATTTTGATGATGATGATAAAGGAGTAATAAGACATGCAGAGATAGTCTATAATTTACCAGCTACAAGGTCTAACGTTTATAATGAAACCGATTTGGATGATGCTTTTGAAAAATCAGTCAAAGAAATTTTGTTGAACATAGAGAAACTAGAAGGTTCAGCATCTAATTTACAATTTATACAAATATTATCAACAACCATTCATTATGACAAATATGATCCAACAAGAGCGGGTAGTTATATAGATTTACCAGAATGGATTAAACTACAAAGGCATGTATTAATATCAGAAACAAAGATAACAAATGTTTTAAATATAGTGTGCAAAGTGTAGTGTATGATATAAATAATAAACCAAATTCTCAAGAAATGTTTCATTACAACAAATTAAACGATGACATTTTGAACTGAGAAGGTGTTAAATTTCCAAGTGGTAATAAAGATATTGAAAGGTTTGAAGAAAATAACAGTAAGTTAGTTTCAATCCATGTTTATGAAATTGATGATACTTTGAATGACGAAAAAATATAATTGACTACAGGACTAAAACAAGAGATGCTAAACATCAAATAAACCTTTTGAAAATTGAAAACAATAATGATAATCATTATGTAGTCATTAAAAGTTTAAGTCGTCTAATGAACTGGCAAACAAACAAAAATGACCAACCAAAACATTATTGTCATTATTGTTCTCATGCTTTTACTAGAAAGGATTTATTAACAACACATTATGAAAAAGGTTGTATGGCAACACACGGACAACAGTTTAAATTGCCAAAAGAAGGTAGTTATATTGAATTTGACAAATACAATACAAAATTAGAATGTCCATTTGTTGTTTATGGAGATTTTGAGTGTATAACTGTAAATTCAAATACTGGCATCAAGGGTACGTATCAGGAACATAAACCATGCGGTTATATGTTGAATGTTGTAAATTCTATTGATAATACAAGCCAACCTTATTTATACCGTGGAGAGGATTGTTTAGACCACTTTGTAAATAAATTAAGAGAAATTAAAAAATGATATTTTTGATAAAATGAATGTTAATAAACCAACGGATAATACAGGTGAACAAGAAGCAGAGTTTAGAAAAGCTACTGTATGTTCAATATGTAATAAGAATTTTAAACCAGAAGATAAAAACGTTCTTGACCACTGTCGTTTTACTGGTATGTATAGAGGTTGTGCTCACGAAAAATGTAATTTGGATTTTTCCTTTAGATATTTCAAGATACCAGTATTTTTTTCATAATTTAAAAGACTATGACTCTCACTTAATAATAGGTAAAGCAAATGAGATAAATAAGGAATTGGACGAAAATAAGAGAATAGATGTAATAGCACAAAATATCGAAAAGTTTATTACATTTTCATTTGGTTCATTATAGTTTAAAGATAGCATTGCTTTTCTCTCAGCATCTTTAGATAAATTAGTTAAATTAAATACATATGACATAGTAGGTAAAGATGAGCGTGATAAACCTATATATAACAAACGGAATGACTGGGAGAATAATTTTAGATTTTCATCAGCAAACCCATATATTAGAAATAAAACAGATTTAGACTTATTAACTGAAAAAGGAGTTTATCCTCACGACTACATGAATTCATTTGATAAATTCAATGAATCGCAATTACCAAGTATAGAAGACTTTTACAGTCAATTATATGAAGAAGGCATAACAGATACACAACACACAAGGGCAAAAGTAATATGGGATAATTTCAATATCAAAAACCTAGGTGAATACCATGATTTATATTTGATGACCGATGTTTATTTGCTTAGTGATGTTTTTGAAAACTTTAGGGATATGTGTTTAAATCATTATGGTTTAGACCCTGCACATTACATAACATTACCCTAACTATTCTTGGTCTGCATTCTTATCTCTGACTGGTGTTAGACTTCAACAAATACATAATCAAGATATGTATGAAATGATTGAAAAAGGTCTTCGTGGCGGTATGACTCAATGTTCTCATAAAAAAGTAGAAGCAAATAATAAATACATGAATGAACAATATGACATGTCAAAACCGTCAAGTTATATAAGTTATTTAGATGCTAATAACTTATATGGTCTGGCAATGAGTAAAAAACTACCGCTTGATAATTTCAATTG